TGGTCACTGGCTACAGTCAGCTAGGGGTCGGATGTATAAATATTGAGAGCTAAAAATGGTACGAGAAACCACACAATGCTGGGTACGAATCTTTCATTAAAAATCTGACACAGATAATTCCCCTCCCTACTTCTGTCTCCTTTTAATGTTGCAGAGTCTCTCCATGGAGACATTTTTCTAAATCAGGGAATTTATTTGGATTTTGTTTTTGAGGTTGGTTTTTTCCTTGTTTTGTTTTTTTTTTTTTCTTTTAATAAGAAAAGGATAAATTCCGGAGAGGAAATTTTTTTTATTACTGCTTAAGCTTCTCAAAGGATATTACAAAGAAAGAAAAGTGAAGTAGATCAAACTTACGGCAAGTGTGTGACAATTACATTTTTATAAAAAAGGAGAAATAAGACATCTGAGTTGCTAAGGGCTTGTGGGGAAAATAGCTTATATCTTGAAGGGCTTAGGTCATTGTCTTGCTGAAAGTATATAAGGTCATTTGTGTGCATATGAAGGCCCAAATGCAGTGAATACTTAATATACTTCATCCTGCTTCTGGCAGACCCTGGGGATTGAGGTAGTTGTCTGTATTTGTTCACTTTGATTTTCAGCTTGTACACGCCAGATGGAAAGTCTTCCATAAAAGGTGGGAAAACTTTCTTTCAAAAGTCCTGGAATCACTGAGAATGCAGTATGGGTTAGTAGATATGCTTGTTTTGGCTGGGGTAGAGTTAACTTTCTTCACAATGGCTGGTATGAGGCTGTGTTTTGGATTTGTGCTAAACACAGGGCTGATAATGTAGAGATGTTCTTGTTATTGCTGAGCATGGTTTACACAGAGACCAGGCCTCTTCTGCTCTCTGTGCTGCCACGCTGGCAAGGAAGTTGGGGGTGCATGGGAGGTTGGGAGAAAACACAACCGGGACAGGTGACCTGAACTGACCAGCGGAATATTCCAGACCATATGACATCATACTCAGTATATAAACCTGGGGGAAAGAAGGAGAAAGGAGGGGATGTTTGGAGTGATGGCATTTGTCTTCCCAAGTCACCTTCACACATGCTGGTGCCCTGCTCTCCTGGAGATGGCTGAACATCTGCCCAACCATGGGAAACAGTGAATTAATTCCTTGGGTTAGCTTTGCTTCTGTACATGGCTTTTGCTTTCCCTATTAAACTGTCTTTATCTCTACCCGTGAGTTTTCCAGGTTTTACTCATCTGATTCTCCCTCTGATCCTGCTGGTGGAGGAATGAGCGAGTGGCTGTGTGGGGCTTGGTGGCTGGCTGGGGCTAAACCATGATAGATCTTGACTTTTTTCCTTCATGGTTAAAAAATTATCTTTACTGTGTTTGGAAAAAGGTGTCCCAACTCGTTTTGGCCAGGTAATGATGACTTCCCAGCAGAGCTGGACTTGGTAGGAATAAGTTAATTTTGAAAAGAGCTTCAAGAGAGAGAAAGAGCATCTTTGAAAAGAAATGGAACTGACCAATTGGGAAAACATCAGCAGTGCTTTTCCTTTGTGCAGGAACCAATTACCACTGCAGCTGCTTGCCTGCCTTGTGACCATTTGCAAAATACTGTTCCATGATTGGGGGAAGCTTGCCAGTAGTTGAAGCTGAATGCTGTAAAAGAAAGCATGTTTATTTTAGTCTGTGTGAACTGGAAGGAGGAACTACTTAGAACTGTGTAAAAATTACTTGTTTCATGTGTATAACTTGGCAGCACAATGACTTGTGAATGTGGAATGTGAAACTGATCTGAGGATGAGCTGGGGACTTTTCATTGCTGCAGGCTGAGAATTAGTGTTTGAATAAACCTTGCTACCTACTTCATGGATGAGTATTTGTTCCTTGCTTCAGAGAAATTCTGGTTACCTCAGTGGGCTCAGGGCTATAGACAGTTTATAATTTTGTTGGTTTTTTTCCATTGTCAAATGCCTGTTGACATCTTTTCGGTGAAGAAATAATTGCGTATTTAGCTTAAGTTGCACTGCTTTGTATTGTTTTTAAAGTAAACTCTGAGGTAATGAAAAGAACCCAGACTGCTGCAAATTAGAGAAGTTCTACTTCCCAGCCCCTGCCCCACCAAAGAAAGTTTAGTGTTCATCTCAACAGGACAATGCTTTCTCTGCCGTTATCTATTCTTTATATCTATATTTGACTGAAAATACTGCTTTTGGAAAAGCAGCATTTGGTTTCATTACTTCTTTCCTTGATTGTCTTTGAGTGCAAATAGTGCTGTCAACTGTGAGGTGGTCAGACACTGGGACAGGTTGCCTGAAGAAGTTGTGGATGCCCCATCCCTGGAAGTGCTCAAGGCCAGGTTTGGATGAGGCTCTTAGCAACCTAGTCTAGTGGCAAGTGTCCCTTCCTATGGCAGGGGGTTTGGAACTATGTGATCTTTAAGGTTCCTTCCAACCCAAGACATTCTATGACTCTTTCTGTGACTGTGGATTTTGTCACAGTAGTGTCTCTCCTCAAATAACGGATTTGAAACTGCAACATGTTCCACACAGCTGCAGTAGTATTACCAGCAACAGCTGTCGTGCTCTATGCTCAAATTCAGCCTTTGGTGCAAAAAACTATGGGTCCCTGTAGCCAGTTTCTGTCCCAAGCCTCTGCCTGGACTCTGTAGACCTGATTTATGTGTCTGAGACTGTAATGCAATCACTCTGGGACTTTTTTTAACCAGTAGCTGTGGAATAGCAGAAGTCAGGTTAGAAAGTTAAGGGCAGTACATCTGATTAGTGTAAAGTAAAACATGTGCTCTAGTTGTCCAACAGGTAATTTTGAGAACGGAATTTAAATTGGTATTATTATTTTGATTGTTACTAGTAGGATCTGCAGATTTATGAACTGCTCAGTGCTACTAAATGGAGATTGATGTGCCCTAAACTGTAATCCACTCATCCATCATAAAGCCTCTGCTACAAACCTATTTAATTACCAAACAGAAGAATTCATTATCTATCTCCAGAGAAACTGATTTTCCTTAATAATAAAGCATTAGTGTGTGCAATGAGCTATCAGAGAGCATTCTATGGCAAGCAAGCGAGGAAGCAGCTGTCTCTAGCATGCAGCTGTGGAACTAAAGAATAAAGAATTTCCATGGGCAATACAGAAGTACAAGGAATTATCTTTGTGGCCCAAGAGAGTTAACAAATACGAGTTCAGTTCATTGCCTTGCCAGAGTTTTGCTGTGGAGAGACATTGGTGTCCCAGGAAGTCGGTTTCAATGGGACACAAGTGACCTGTGTAGTCACTGCCTGGATGCTATACCTTGTCCTCAGAGTGCTGAGCCCTCTGTAGGCAGTCTTAGCTCCTCCTTTAATTCAGACCTTCTGGTTAAAATGGCCTGACACCAAGTAAATTTGACTCTTCCAAAAGCACATATGGACTCTAATGTATGTTTCCATGTGAATTCTGGCAGTGCAGCCAGTTCAGGGTGTGCCCTTAAAGCAAAGTCACAGAAAACGGCTCTCTGGAGCAGATTGCTAATAACTCCTCAAAGCCTTCTGTCCTTTGTCGACCAGCACAAAACTGTGAATGGCGTTTCAGAGGACAGAACAAAAGCTTTCTATGTCACTGTCAGACAAACAGATCCCAAAACTGAAGTTTCTGATTATATTCTTTAAAATATATATTTTATGTGAATGAGGTATAGGAGATAATTCCTTTAGGAAGGCTGACAGGCAGTTGGCTGCTATATATACTGTACTTTCCAGTATAAAAATAAACTGCAGATGTTTGACACAGATCTGTCAGGATACTTAACTTTGGGTTGGGGTTTGCAGATGTCCTGTGCATTGTGGAAGCTAAATCTTTGCCTTAAGGGGAAAGAGGGAAGAGGTACATGGCAGCAAACACTGAGAAGCATGTCCTGTGTGTGTCTAATGCATTCTGACCTGTGGACACTGTCCTTTTTGATATTTACAAAACCCAACTGCTGTCATTAGTAGTGAACTGTGTCTCTTATGCAGTTTTGAGGACAGTCCTTTGTTATTGGTAGGCAAAGGAGCTCAGCTGCCAGGTGATTTTCTACATCTTGTAGAAATGTCCTGATAAGAAGAGAGTTTTGTATAGAACTACGCTGTTTTAACTGCACGGAGCATTATTTGTTTCATCAAAGCAGCACCCAGGAAGTGGAGGTAAGTTTGGACATGCAAAATCAAGTTCTCAGTTGGGCTTACCAGAGAGAATTTTTGTTGACAGATTGGTCCAAATGTTTTGCCTCTGTGAATTGTTTTAAATCCTCTTTAAAAGACCTGAGGCATGGATTTATGTTGGTGGTGTTTTGTTTGTCTTCAGAGCAACAGAGTAAGGCTGCCAGCTGTGAACTTCACAAGCCTTGAGAAATGGATGAGGTTGAATAGTTTACTGAACACAGTGCCTACAGCTGTGTGTCATTGAATGCACTTAATGGCAGACATGACAGACCGATTTGTTAATTTTCATAGAGTAGTAACTGATTACATTTTCTCTTGGCTGTGTTTCAGCTAAAGTTGCATTGTCCTGTGCATTATTTCCTTTCTTAGCTGCTAAGTCATTACTTTGGAAGCAACTTTCCTGTTTGTTTGGGGGTTTTTTGGTTGGGGGAGTGAGTTGGGATTTTTTTGGTTGAGTTGTTTCTGTGTTTTCTTGGTAGAGGGATTGTGTTTCAGTTTTTGGTTGTTTGGGTTTTTTTCTTTTTTCAGGGCATGTGTGTGTTGGGAAGAAATGAAGCAATGCTAATTTTTGCTTACTAGTACTAATACAGAGGTTTGCTACAATTTTAGGATTCAATTCCAGGGTCTTCCTCCTTTCTTCCCACTTCTTCCAGCCTGCCTTTATTATGATATTTAGTGGGAATGTGTCTTAATGCAAAATGAGTGCAGCTGCACCCTAGAATGTGTGAATTTTGGCCTTTTAAGACCCAGCAAAAATATGAATATGTCATATTTTTAAAATCTAAACTGAAGCATGATTGGTTGATGGCTCAGTAATTTACATCTCTTATGGTTTGTTTGTCTAGGGAGGCAGCAGCAGCTGGAAGCTGAGGACCCGTACGTGGAGGCTGATCAAGACCTTCACAGGAGGACGGAGCGATCTGTGGAGCCGCCTACGGAAAGACCTGGGGAGAGGCGAATGGCAGAAATGAAAAAACTGTATGGTGCTGATGCTGCCAAAATCCAGGCAATGGAGGCTGCCATGCAGCTTATCTTTGACAGGAACTGTGACAAAAAGCAGCCCAAATACTGGCCCATTATTCCCCTTAAGCTGTGAGTACCTGGACTGTGCTCTGACATGGCACACAACTGTGCCTCAGTCAGGTTGTGCTGCTGAAAGAACAAACTGCCAATTTTGGTTTTGGGTGGGCTTTGGGGCAGAATCTGGCAAGGACAGCATGTGTGTCTTTGGCCTTTGTTTCTTTTACACTGTCTATCAGCAATGCTCACTGTCTGTTCAACCCACATACAGTTGTCAAGTAGTAATAGGAGGGATGGGAATATCAAACGTGTCTTAAGTCATGTGTTTACTTGTTTGATACCCGCCTGCCTTGACCATGCTTGCAAGAAACAACAATGTCTATACTCAGTGAACTGGGAAAACTTAAAATGATGCAAATAAGAAAAAGACCATAGGAATTGTCTGCTCTTACTGTTTAGGAATTTGAGTGATCCCATTTTTTAGTCTTAACATAGTAGCATTTGGATCCTGTTTCACATAGCCCAGCTTGAAGTGTTATGTCTGCTAATCTTGGATTTTTTTTGAGAACCAGGAGCCCACTGGCCAAGATACAACTTATCAAATTACCGTAGCCCAGATGTTTGAATTCTTTTTCAAAGGTTTATAATAAAGCAGGAAGTTTTTCTTCCAGACTGATGCTTGTCTGACAGAAGTTTGATTCTAAAGCAACATTATATGGAAAAATGTTTTAATGAAGGGGGTGGGAGGGTGAGACAGAAGCCTGATATGGTCCTGTCTGTTAGAGGTCTGTTTAGCAGAAGAGAAACTTAAGAGGACACAACATTATAGGGGACAGTGCATGCAGTGATTTTTGCTATCTAATAAAAAGCATCTTATGGGTTTGAAGCTTTACAGAAGGCTTATTATTTTGATAGACTTCATCTGAACAATGTATATGGAGGTATGAAAGACAGGTAGCCCTGCAGGCTATGTCTGTTTTAGGTGCAGCTTTCCAGTGCCCGCCTGCATATGACATGCACAAGCCTTAAACACAAGCAGGTAGATGTGCCTCTGTGTGTACTCATCCATCTGCACAGGCTGTTTGGTTCCATTTCTGTCTCTCTCTACTTTTGGTCAGTTGTGTTTGCTCCACTAGTAGTTAACAAGGTGGAGTGAGGCACACAAGTGGTCTGTGTAAGAGAGGCAGAACTGGCCCCTCAAAACCAATGATTCCTTAAAAATGGTACCGTGAATACTTCCAAGGACTCTCGGTGAAGCACGGCTGCTACATCTCATTGTGTGCTGAGGGGCTGTAGTTTGTCTTGCAGTGTTTCCATGACAGGGCAAAGGAACCTTCTGCTCATTTAATAGTGACATATTCATCTGTCTTTCTGGCAGCAGAGGAGGGTCACAACTAAAATTCTGGCTTCAGTTTTTCCCAGTGTATCCAGAGTATCTCTGAGGCATGTGTAGTTCGTAATGCACACCAGCAGTTGCTGTGCCCTCTGCAGCAGCCAGCTGCAACAAAGCGAGTCTGCAATGCAGTTTGAAATATCTTTGCTTTTACTAGTAGTTACTATGTTTTTTCCAAGCAGCATTTACATGTCAGTTGTACCTCTTTCGCTTTGGTTGTGACAAGATGAAGTTAAATTGAACACTGATGTTAAAAAGCCCCTAGTCTCCAAGACTTGTTACTGGTGTGATTGGTCTGAAAAACTTCAGTGAGACAGGAGAGGGAATATTAACAGTCGTGCATTGTCTTCACTCTTGTTTTTGGTGGGTTTTGTCAAAAATTTGGTGTTTTGTTTGGGTTTCCTTTCATTGACCAAATAAATTTTCTTCATAACACTTTGTAATTTACTTTTTTTTTGTATAAACAAACTTCCATACTTCAGTTCTCATATGCTAAAGCTTTCTTTTAGCTGCTCCATTGTTTAAGGAAGATTGAACTTAGAGCAAGGACAGTTTTAGCGTATGGAGAAGTGCAAGGAGCGTTGACAGGAGTTTTCACAGGAGTGCCAGTCAGTATCACAAGTGTATGGTATTGTACAAAATGAATGGGAAGGTTGCTACATCTGCTGGGGGAAAACCGTGTCCCAGATTAACATACATAAATCTCTCTGTTCCTATTTAAAGTGTTTCCAGTGTGGTGATGGTGTTTTCTCTGTGCAGTTCAGTTCAGAAAAAAAGGAAGAATGGGTAGGACTGTTCTTGCTTTTCAACACAAGTCCTAGTTCTTACTGTGGTTTATTCTGCACCTAGCTGGTTCTTCGAGCAGAAGCAGAAATTCTGGTGTCCAAAAGTATTTGTAGAGGCATCATACAAGACAATATTGAATTCCTTTCCCACTTCATATAAAATATAAAAGAAATTTCCTTGCCTTCGGTTCTTTTACCTATTTCTAAGAGGGTTTAATATAATTCACGAGGTTAAAAGTAGAGAGAACTGGATGATGTGTTCCCTAGGAACTATGTACTAAGGCCTGAAGCGGAGGAACACACTACTGCAGACTTAAGAGCTGCTGCCAAATGATGTCATTTCAGGGGATGCGCTGTTGCTGGTCTTTGGCCAGCTGTCTCATTTTGCTGATAATTCAGCAAAACTTGGAAATTCTTCGTTGCAGTTCTTTTACTCTGTCTCCCATGTCATTTTAAATTTTTAAGAAATGTCTCACAAAAAAAGGTGTAATCATGGAAGAAATGCAATGGCAACTCAAAAACACCAGTTCAGTCATCTGTAACATTCACCTTTCATGCCCATATGTATTATGCTGCAGTCCTCAGTCATGGGAACGTGTGCGCTTTTTTCCCCCAAGGACACAATGTTATGCCACCCACTTGACTAGAATGCAACTGTGATGCTGCAGACGTGATTCTCTCTTGTCCACAGCGTTGCACCTTTGCTTTCAGTTGTGCCAACTGCTCATATAGTCCTGCCTGAAGGGAATTCTTCATTTGCTGCTGGTGCTGTTTCTCATGAGCTTTTCCCAGCTCCAGCAGAAGGAATTACAGCCTGAAGTCACAACTTTTCATACAGTTAGTCTTAATTTCAGAGACTGGTTTCCTCATTTGTTACGTGCAAATCAGCCTTATTTTTGGGAGAAGGGTTTGTGATTGGCTGAAGACACTTCAAAGATTGGAGAAAAATGTTATAGGTCTTCTCTACTGAAAGCATTCTTAAAAGAAATTAAAAAAAACTTTCAGAACTGGCACAATATAAATTTAACATACAAATGAAGCGATGACTTCTGTGTTTCCTACCAGAAGAAAAACTACTTACTTTTATGCATTGGTGACATTGTCAAGTGCTCTTGTTCTTCTAGAATTATTTCCCCATAAAGCAGCTGACAGCTCAGTATGCCTGTGTGTACAGGCAGCCTGAAAAGAGATTCAACCATTTTGCTGAGAGTAACTTTTCTCATGGAACATAATGGGTAAGTATTCATACCTTTTGAGTGGTCTTGTTAATGACTCGTACTTGGAAGAAGCATTAATAAAAAACAACCTAAATTTCTGTAACAGCCTTTGTGAAGGATAAACACTTACATAATCCACATGGATTTGTTCCCTCGTGTCTTTTTCCCTTTGTAAAAGCTCCTCGCTCACTCATTACCTGAAATACCTTGCAAATATTTGTATCTTCATCTCTTGTTACATTAATAACTATCCAACTCTGAATAGAAACTGAGAAAAGCAGGACACTGATTCAGCTGCTTAAATTTCGAGTTTTAAGTGTGATTTTTGGCATAATGGTCTGAACACTTTGGCTGAAAGAACTACAGAGGGGCCAAGATTATTGCCCAAAATGTGAAATACAGTCTGTCAAAAGGATGCATCCAGAACTCTGTTTTCTTTGTGGTTTCTTTAAAGTTTAAGCTCCTGGGAAATACGCTATTTGATAAATAATACATTCAGGCTGTGACAAAATTCTGTTTTCATGTTTGTGTGCTAATTAATCAACTGTCTACCCTGTCTAACCTGTTGTTTCCTGTGCTCCTGTCTGGATAGTCCAAAGGAAAGAAACTCATATGGGCTCTTTCCTAGGTAGAATAGCAGCCTGTGAGGGAGTCTCAGCTGCTCCTGAAGGGTGGTTGTAGCCAGAGTATGTTCAAGGCTTCACATCTCTTCATATATTCTCACAGCTGGAGTTGCTCAGCTGGTACACAGACATGAATAGACCGTGCCATTGCCATCTGGGCATTGTCTTGGTGACCTGGCTATTCATTCATTCAGGACTAGGCTTCACGAACGAAGATTTGGGGAGGGCTCTACCCACGTTTATTGCAAGCGCGTTGGTGGCTAAAAAGGCCAATACGAGATAGACACGTCTGGTTGCAAAAGGCACAGCAGAAAGACTCAGGCAGGATTCTTTCTGTGTTGTCTTTTTTCCTCAAGCGTGATCCTGTGTGCGTTCTCAAAGGCATCAGCAGCGTTATAGATGGTGTGTCTCCAGACCTCCCGATTGGAGGCCAGAGTAGACCAGTTATGGTGATCAATATGGCCAAGGCTGAGATATTGTTTCAGGGAGTCCTTGTATGACCTGGCTATAGTAGCAGAAGAATTGCTTGGGCTCAGTCCGTTCTTTGGAGCACACAGACAGCAGCCTCAACTTAATTTCAACAGGGCAGGAGCAGCACAAAAGTCTTGCTTGGCCAAAAGTGGAGAAAGCTTGCTCATCTTGAGCTTACAGAGTGTAAATGAGATTCTCCGAGCATAGATTCTATTACACAGTCACAGAAGGGTTTTTTTCCCCCTTTAATCACGAATCTATCTTTTAAGAAAGCCAACAAGCAGTGTAAGAACATACATGGTTTTTGAAAAGAAAATACTTTTCAGTCTAATGATGCCAATATCACTGGTTCCCTAAACTAAATTGAGGTCTTTTGCCTACAAAGCCTTTTGAAAAGCCAGAATGTGCATAACTGCTATCCGCATGACTTTATAACCATCCCAAAGACATACCTGTGTGGGGAGGAAGGGATGAGAAAAATGGAAATGATGGATAGGGATTTTTTCCAAATAGGGTTAGAAGTGGTCCTCCTTAACTTCTAGACTTTGTTTTAATAAAAGCAACAGTTTCTCAACTTAATGAAGATGTGAGGCAAAAGTCTATGAGGGGCTGTTAAAAATGAGGTTACATCACTGTCTTGGGATGTCCCTAAGCTGCACCTTACTGGAAGTTAGGAAGGAGTGACAAAATACTGCTTTATCCATGGAGTTTTCATATGTTGTCCTCTAGACAGCTGCCAATGGGTCATGCCATAGGAAGATAACTAGATTTCTGATCTGTTTATAGAGATATTTAGAATCTTTCCACGTGCTTATACTGAAGATCAAGATTGAAATACCAGGCTTGAGTTCCAGCTTTCGGCCATCTCATGCATCCTTTATTTCTAGATACAGAAATTGCTCCTATGACTCAACTCCACCAAAGTTTACTGGCATTGAGGTCCAGAGGATTCAAGTTGGAAGAGACCTACAGCTGCGCTGTTTAATGTAACCCAGTTTATTTGTTACTTGGACCAAGATTCAGTCAGCCCTTTTGGTCTAAACTTGTACAAGCATCCAGCAATAAAAAGTCTGTGCCTTGAATTTAATTAGTTCTGATTCTCACATAGCTGTCTTAGTCCCATCCTTTGCATTGGACAGGAAAAGATCCGAGTCATCATGTCTAGTTTCTGCTACCTCTGGCAATGACATCATCTAATACATTGCAGAAACTAATTAGGAAATTCCATTTCCTGTCACCTCTACTTCTGCTAGTTAAGACTGCAGGGCCTGCTTCTCACTTGCAAAACATAATAAAATACTCGGAATGCCACGAGTTAAATTGTCCTTTGTCAGAGAGCTCCAAAAAATGTAAATGCGGGTACAGATTATGTATCTTGGGCTTTTTTTGTGTTAATTACAACTATGTGATATCCTCCCCCTGGACAGGAGTGGAGTTACTGTTGTGACAGAAATAAATGCTTGAAGTATGTTTTTACTTAAGCAATAACTTATCAAAGGCCACACTTCTGATCTGTAGCATATTCCATGAAGTGGCTGAATAATAGCTGAAGGGTCCCATTCCACTGTCCTTTCATGAAAAATGCTGAGGTTGACCTAAAACTTAAGCCAGTTGTGCTGCAGTGCATTTGAAACACACAAGTTTGATGAGTTGCTCCAAACAGAATAATCCTTACATGACTGCACCATATAAATCTGAATATAAATCTGGACTGTAAACCAAGAGCAATCAAAAAAATAGACATTACATTATTGCATCTGGGAAGATAGTTTAATAGCCATTACTTTTTATCAATTTTGTATATATCTGTTGATGAATTTAGAATTTCCAGTAATGCCAGACCACACTGCACTAGAGAGAAGAAAGTATTTGTTGAGCAAAACAGGATGTTTTCATTTGTAATTCTCTGCCACAGAGCTGTGTCTCAGCAGTGCCACAGTTGGTTTGTGGTCCTGTTTTAGTGTCACTGCCCTACCCTGTTTTCAGGGGCACACAGGAAGTCCTTCCTTGGCACCTCCTCTGAGAAGCCCTGTATCTGAGCAGCAGTCCTGACAGCTGTTTTTATAATTACAAGGCCTTGTGGTCCTTGTAATCTTTTTCTGCTGGCTGTTGAACTCTGAACATGCAAACTGTTCTGCCTACTCTGAAAGCCTTGATGCTGAGTGTGTGATACATGTGACATGACTGTTCCATGACAACAGAACATGATCTAATAAATGCCAGATGATGAATTCAGTTCAGGGACACACCAGAAAGAATGTCTGCACTGTGCTATAGAAAGTCCTTACTCCAGAACTACTCTAGAGAAAATGTCAGACAAAATTAAATGTTCAGTTTTCCCTCTTTTGCTTTTTCTGTTGAGCAGATCCCTCTTCAGGTCACCTACAGCTCCAGTGTGACAGCATAAACATGTATCTCCAGCGTGCAAAAGTGCTTCTATGGATAACTTCTAATGAGATTATGTATTTATTTGCCTTTCCCAAGTGTGTTTTACTATGCAGACCTGCTTTAGAAAGATGTCCTGTACTTTCCCTGTCACCAGCAGTTAAATCTTGTTTGGAAGGAAAAAAAGAGTTGCCTTATTGTCTCTTCCCTTCAATATCTGTTTTAGTCTAGCAGTGTTACTTGCATTATTCAAATCTAGCAAGATGAAATCTGTTTCTATGGCATGGCTATGGCTAAAGTTTTTTTGTGGTAGGTACATTGATGATAATTAGCTGCACTAGTTACTTTGTGGAAACTGTCATTACTGGCACAGCCTGCAGTGCCATGGTCCCCACCAGCATGACAAAATTGGTCACTTCAATCCAAGAAGATACTAGGTTCCACTGGAATAAAACATATCAACTGTTTATATTGGTAAAATTTGTTAAATACCTTACTACAAATCAGTAATTAAACAATTTTGTTTTGCTATTTTAACTTCCTTCATGCCAGGCTTATGAAAGTCTGAATTTATGTAAAACCACCATAATGCTAGAAAACATTCAGCAGAATCTCAAGTACAGTACAGATTATATTTTCCCTAGCAGGGTGCCCAAAATTATTATAATAATTGCAAAGAAAAAAACCTTGTGTTTGTTGCTTTTCCAACATTATTTTAAAGTCCTTGTTTCCAGAATTTAAATTTGAGGTTTTCTTTTTTAATACGCTTCTTAGTCAGGCAACCTTTAAAATATCAATTGGCTCAGCAGCCTCAATTTCCAGGCCTGAAATAACATCTGAATGTATACTAAATGTAGGAAAAACACCTACACTGCCTCTCCCACCAGTGCCATCCCCACGAAGCTACTTGGAATTAAATGGTTACGCACTGTTACGCATTTCTCTGGCCACATATGGAATACTTTAGATCTCCATGGATCCAGCTGAGCAGTTTTGTGGATTTCTCTTTACCTCAGTCTTTTTCAGCATACCTATGCCCTTTTCTTCCTCCCTCGTCTTCTTTTTCACAAAGGCTCCTTCCTAACTTGTATCCAGCAAATACTCTTCTGCAGCCTGATGGTGCTCTCTCAGCTCCTACCCTCCTGTCTGCCTCTCACCTGTAGGGCAAAAAATGTTGCCTGGACACTCAGTAGCCAGCAGAGCAAACAAGAACTAATCTGGATGACCAAATTTTTCTGGTCAGTGCCTCTGGCACCGTAAACACTGAAAGCAGAAAGTGCCAAGACCTTTCCCACAGCATTGTCCCTAACCCGTCAGTGAATGAGGGGAGATCATTCTCTCCTCTTTTCCTACCTAAGAGACAAAATTTCCTTACTGCTGTGCAAGTGGTGGGAATTGTGTCAGTGCCAGTTCATTTCTCCCCACTCCAGTCAATCACCCAAAGCCTTTCTAAAGTTGCAGTGCAGTGAACCACCACAATCCTGTTGAACACCAGGGGAAGTTTTTGTAAGACTTTCCCCTAGTGGGAGAAACAATTGCTGGATACAGTGCCTGGACTTCACAATCCATCTGTTTAATTTATAGTGTGTCTCAACTGTACATCTCTGTCAACTCCACCTTCAATGGCAAGGCGTAACTGTAACTTGGGAGCTCAGCCATTTGGAGCACCAACCAGACAACCGTGATCTATTCCCACCCAGTAGATGAGGATGTTGCTAAGGCAGTTTCTTGATGTAAGAATGATTTTATCTCTTTTTCTCTCTTTTCAGCCCTCTTGGCCAGCTGGCATCCTGTTTTCTACTTTTCCAGCAGGCATTGGTTCAGCTTGGCGTGATCCTTCAGAGTGGGAGCAGTAGCCCATTTAGAGCTTAAAACACATAAAGACTAACTGGCTGCAACCCCAGAGAACAACCTTGCAAGAGGCTGATGAGGGCACTTAGCCAGACCATCTCCAAAACACTATTGTTAAAAG